TTCCCCCCCCCCCCCCCTTCCCTGGCTCTGGGCCTAGACCAAAGTCAAAGTAGTGAATTTGTTATTTAATCTAAATTTTAATTATTTTATGACGAGGAAGTGTCAGTAAACAATGGCTGACCCAGTCCAGGGATGGCAACCAGTAAATTTGATTTTGAATACCAAACTATAAGGGCCAACGGTACTCAAGTGTTTCAAGCAGTCAAATTAAATCAAGGCGATCACACACAAAAAATGAATCACATTCACTGTTCACATTGATGATAGAGTTCGATTCATTATGATTATGGTTTGTTGAATGTAGATTGTAGTTAGTTGTAGGCCTACTGCCTACTAATATTACTACGACTTATTATAATAGTAGTAGGCCTGATAATAATAATAATAGTACAATAGTAGTAATTAGTAGCCATTTCAATTTAGTTTAGTATTCACCATCTGTAAAGTCATTAGGCTGTGTAAAGTTATAAATAATAATACACTAGACTAGTGTTTCTCAAACTGGGGTCTGCGGAGCGTTTTCAGGGGGACAATGATGGGGTCACTTAAACTTAAATACGAATTTTGGGCTATTTTCGTTTTTTTCCGCTGGTTGCTATTTCCTGTGGAGGAATCAAAATTAGTTCCCACGAGACTTGGTAATGTGGTATAGTATATTCACTAAATTTTCACTTCAACTTTTTGTGATCCAGCTTGAGGAAATGATGGATGAGAATGTCACCAAGGTCTGACAAGCAACTGGAAGATGATTTTTTTTTGTTTTGTTCTCTCAGCAGCAGAACAACTGCAAAATAAATATTTGATAAAGTGGACAAATTCTTTGAGGCACATAGTATCAGATGGGAATATGTCATCAGTCATTGGCATTTGTACTGACGGCGCTCCAAGCTTGAATTAATGCCATTTTAGTTTTCAAACTTGTTAAGCGAAAATCCCCAAAAATTATTGGTACTGGTATCTACAAACTGCACAAAGTTAGTAAAGAAGAAATTGCCACAATTCCACAGCTAAACACATATGTTGATGAAAATGAGCTTTAAGTCCACGACAATATCTTTGATGTGATGAAACATCATGTATCAATCCTTATTGAGGAAATTTCTCATTATTTTCATGATCTATTCTATAGCCTACCAATTTGAAAAATACTATGGCTTTATCAACAAACCCTTTGTATGCTTCTTTAGTGATCTCCCTTTGGAGGACAATTTAATTCAAGATTATTGATTTGATAAGTGATTGGGCTGAAAAAAATGTTTTCCTTGAAATGTGTTGTAGTGATTTTTGGATTGAAATGTCGCATCCCTATCCCAGTGTTGTAAAGATGGCTCTAAGGTTGTTGATTCCATTTGTAACCACAGCTTTTTCCAAACTACTTGATATCAAAACAAAACCCAGAAACAGATTGGACGTAAACAATAACAAAAGAGTTACAGGGGCCAAAACAATACCAAACCAAGAAAAACTGGTCAAGACAATGCAGATGCATCAATACCTTTAAATTTACATTTGATGACTAAGTTCTGCTATTTTCTGAACAAACAATTGTTTGTCAAAAATGTTTTGGTAACAGTACCCTATATGTATATGTTAATTGCAGTTAATTGAAAAGGGAGCTTCACTGAAGAAACCATAAAAATAAATTTGAGAACCACTACTTGAGAGTATTACTAACTTAATATTAACTATCGGTACCTTAAACACTATTTAAGTCTAAAGCAGCTTTTCCCAAATGATGGATTGATGATCGTGACCTGGCAAAATACGGGGTCTAGGCAGGGTTTCTTTCAGGCATATCTCAGGGGGGCACCGCCACCCTGGGGAAAGTCCATTCCCCTCTCCCCCCCCCCTCCGAGCAAAATGTGTAAAACAATATAAATATTAGTTTTTTAAAATTAAAAACTACTAAATTTTCTTTTTTAAATTATTTTTAAAAATATTAATATCTGGTGCCTTTTACCGATTACAATAAGTGGAATATATGAAATATCGAAACGCTCGATATATTTGAATATTAGTATATTTAAGTCTAATCTTGTTAAAGGCGTATAGTATTCTATTATAAATATCCCACTGGCTGCTCCTGATTATAAATCGAAGTTTTACTTCCCGCAGTTCGTATATATCAGTATTTTAATTCATTTATTTTTGGCAACATCACAAGTTTAATGATTAAAATAGCACTGTATTTAATTACCTTTACATCAATAGCAAGGTATACAATTTTAATAATAGTTCTTGCTAAGTATCAAACATGGGCAATCTATAATTTTCAAATCATGTTTCATCATAAAAGCATGACTTTTACAGTAGAGATAGGTGTTTATTATACATTGTATGATGGCGTTATTCTTAAAAAAATATTTTTATTTGCTTGACTTTAAATTAGTCGACGCCATGTGTGTTGAGTTATACAAAACCGAAACTTTAAAAAAAAAATTAAACAATTTTTTTTTAAAAAATTAAGAATTTAACGGGGGCAACAAAAAGTGCAAAATTTCATCCACTATTGAAAGCTTTTGTGTTTTCTTTTAAAGTGCTACTTTTGAAACAATGTTTCCTGAATAACAGAGGTTAAAAAAAATCGTATCCGAAAATTTGTTTGAAAGAAATTTCGTCGAACGTAAGTTTGGTCTAATCTTTTTTTTCAGTTCACACGTTAAAATTTTGCGTAACATTTCCCTTTGAACGCACTATTTTCAAAAAGAAATGCTTTTTAGTGATGGAAACATTTTTATTATTATTTAGTGTGTGTTTGTTGAAAATTCATTTATTAATTAGTTATGCCCCCAAAATATTGTAAATAACAGCGATGTTACTATTTTTAATAATATACAAATTTATTTTGCATAACACTAGCAGGTCAAACACTTTTTCGTTTTGCCAATACCCCCCCCCCCCCACCCCTTTCTTTTTTTTCCAACCTGCATTGAAAGATGATAATAAAGAAAATATTCACATCACATCTTTAAATCCCTAAAATATCCAAGCCACCCTGCATCGTAGGGGTTGCTGGGCGTACACGATGGTTCTAAGGTTAAGTGAAACTTACATTTTTTAACTAAGATTTCTTCCGTTGCTCTCCAGTTAAGTGTAGAGTGTTGCAAAACTAAGTTCAGAAATGTGATAAAATGCATTCTTGTATTTTTAATTTAGCAAAAAATTTCTGGAGACTATTAAGATTTAAGGGGCGAGAAAAAACTAGGGCTAAAGTATACCCTTAAGGGTGACTCAACTAGAATGAATTTAGTTTACGTCCCACTGGTGCGGAATTTAAGATGTCTTTGATCAGTTTTTTGGCTAATTTTAGCACTTCTCAAAGTTTGAAATGCAACCTCAAAATTGTCTGAAAGAAACAACAAATTCATGTATGAGCCAAAATGCACCACTGCATTTTAAGTTTGCCCGACTGTCTTTAGCACCCTAAATGTCTGCACCCCCTTCACTCACGCTGATCAATGGTACAGTATGGGGTTCATTAATAGCTTGTGACAAATGCTTACTTTGGGGCACGCCACAAACAGAGTGAATCCAGTTCATGTATGGCACTGGGCGCCATAATGCCTTCAACAAAACCTTAAAAATGTCTTTCCCCATTCAAAAAGTATAATAGAAACATTGAATTCAAGTATACTCAAAAATACACCTCTTGATTTTGAAATAATCAAAAATTTTCTGTGGAGCAGGCTCCCCAGACCACTTCACCAATCAAGTTTCATCAGCGCCCTCAACTTCCGCCATACTTCCCGATGAAAATGATCGCCGATTTCATTATCGATTGATACCCTGCCTAGTGGCACAGCTACTCCGCAGTTGTCAGAAAATGCCACACCTGCATACAGGGCCGTTCTTCCTCCTCATCCTCATGTCCCTTAGTTCTTGGACCGTTGGGGCGCCACAGATGACATGTGAACCATCCTCTTCATTCCTCTCTGTCTTCAGCACTAGGCACTGCATCACTCAGTGTTAGTCCTGTCCACTCTTTGATGTTATCCTCCCTTCTTTTTCTTTGTCTTCCTCTTCTTTTCCCTCCTCTTGTGGTGCCCTGCTCTTGTGGTGCCCTGCTCTTGTGGTTCTTAGGCATAGGCAAAGTAGGTGACTTCCTAGGGCCCCACTGCCAAGGGGGTTCCGCCATGCGCTTTTTTTTTTAAGCCTAAAACTTGCGAATCTATATTATTATATTTCAGAAATACACATTTTCTCTAGTAGCGGAATTATCAATATGGTTAGTGGTTACACGCGAGCAAAGAGGATACAGTAATGAAGGCAAAGGGGTGGTGCAGCAGTGGTGGGTGATGTTTTCTCCTCGGCTCCTGGGGAGCTTTGCCCCCAGACTCCCTTTCCAGGGCCCCCTACATGCGCCCCATGCATAGGGCCCCCATAATCCTTAGAACGGCTCTGCTGCATATAAATAGAAAGTGACACCTGGTTGGGCACCTCATGCGCCCTATTTTGACGATACTAGCAGGGGCGTATCTACAGCGTCCGGAGGCAAGATTAATTTTTATGCGCCCCCTCCCCCCCCCCATCACCTCAGTGTTTCAAATGATATATAAAAAAATCATTTATACATTTATAGGTGTTGATTAAAACATTTTTGTTGAAAATGGAATAGGAAATAAACACAGGCTAGGAGAAAACGTGGAAGACAACAAAAAAATCTCAGCAAAAACCTTATTCAGCATACCAAATATTAGTAAAAATAAAGATATTAAAAAAACAAAAAAAAACAACTTACAGTTATAGTACAGGTATTGTATACTAGAGCTATGTGTGACCTAGTCTAAAAGTGAAAATGAGTAATTGGCAAGGCTGCCAGAGGGAGCACAGTCTCAACAGGTGAAGGCTGAAGCTAAAACAAAACACAAGGATTGCCGGTATCATAAAAGTAAATCAGGCATTTGAAATGTTACATCCATATGGATCAAACAATCTGAGCACCAACATCAGGACAAAATCATATGTGTTTTCCTTAATGATCAGCACTTTAGAAGGGAAGATGGCCATTATCTGACAAAAAGCCTATTAAGGTAATATAGAATCTTCTGACTCAAGAAAATCTTAAGTGATAAACTGGGACAACCAGGCACAGTCTGGAGGTAGCTGGGTATGTGTGTAAAATGCAACTAAACTCACTAAGATAGAAAACTTGGGGGAGGGGGGGGGATGAAACCGGAGATGACCTAAAGACATGGGGATTAGAAACTAAAAATATGTTTTTGTTATTAGAATCTACTACAAAGGAAAGAAAATTCGTAGCCTCTGATACAGTGGTTCTTAACCTTTTTGGAGGTACCGAATCCCACCAGTTTCATATGCGCATTCACCGAACCCTTTTTAATAGGAAAAATAAAATATGATTATTTTTTTTTTTTTTTTTTTGGACCTCCGCCGAACCCCTGAGACTGACTCACCGAACCCCTGGGGTTCGATCGAACCCAGGTTAAGAACCACTGCTCTAATAATTTTCAATTTCTAATAATATTTTATTGTTATAATATTTTAGCCTTAAATTTAATTTATATTTCAAATTTCAATAGCCTAAATATAAAGTTAGAATTGAAGTCAATAAAATTTGGGATATTTCACTTTAAAAAGACTCTATGACTGATTATATTTTAACAAAAGTTGGGTTTTTTGTGTTTTTTTTTAACTAAACACCCCCCCCCCTTTTTTCTCTTTATTTATTTCAAGGTTTGCATCTAAATTTTTGTTGTAACTAGTGTTAAGCCATCACAGCCACTGGCGGCTCAAGATGGTTGCTGGCGCTGGCTTTAAATATAAAGTTAGAATTGAAGTCAATAAAATTTGGGATATTTCACTTTAAAAAGACTCTATGACTGATTATATTTTTACAAAAGTTGGGTTTTTTGTGTTTTTTTTTAACTAAACACCCCCCCCCCCTTTTTTCTCTTTATTTATTTCAAGGTTTGCATCTAAATGTTTGTTGTAACTAGTGTTAAGCCATCACAGCCAATGGCGGCTCAAGATGGTTGCTGGCGCTGGCTAATAGTTTTGGCTGCATTTTTTACCCAGTTCATTGTGTGTGGCATCACATATAGCTTGGGAGTGTTCCATGTCATTTTTAAAGATATTTTTTATGAAAGTCATTTTGACACAAGCTGGATCGGATCAATTCTTCTCTATGTAACAGCATTATCAAGTAAGTGATGAACACATTGATATTGATACACTATATGGAATTTAACTTTTTTACACAGTATTTAAAAGTTGTAAAGTCTGCCTTAGATTTGTAAAAATGTACTTTGTTTATAACATCATTTAGTGAAAATCTGATTTGTAACAGGGTCTGACATGAGGATGGACTGGTTTTTAAGATAATGAAAATGAGCCATAAGTTATTTTAACTGGGAAATCCCCCATGTGGTAAAATTTTATGCTGCTTTATTTACAATGTGGAATTCTTGTAAAATGTTATTCATATTCTATTTCTATAGTCTTTTCAGTTTTCCACTGAGCTTGCAACAAATCAAGTCCTTTTGTTAGAAAATATTTTGAAAGAGGACATATTTGTTTGGAATACTGTTACCATACATAAAATAATATTTTTATAATAGTAAGTGGTGGCCCAAAAAGCTATCAGATGATACATGATAGGTCACTCAGACTCCTTGAGGTGATGGTGGAATGAAAATATATGGCTTTTTGGTGTAATATATGGATGGCCCCTAAATATAATAAATTCAAAATCTTAATCTCTAGGTATAATGTTCCGCTTCATTACAAGCCACTGGGGCTGCCGTGTGAGTGTAATGCTAGGTGGGCTTCTGGCCTCCGCAGGACTTGGGCTCTGTATGCTGGCACAAGAGATGTATCAGCTTTATCTTTGCTTTGGATTATTAACAGGTATGGCTACATATAAATATATATATATATAAATACATTGTTTTAAATATGAGGTGGCCGAGACTCTTACTTTGATTTCGGAAGTGGGGGCAGAAATAGGAGTCTTTAGGGGCTCATTGAGTGCCTCCCGAGCAAATTGTAAAAAAAAAATTGAAATCCAGGGATGCACTGATTTAAATTTTTCTATATTCTACACTTAATTTGAGAGCAACATAAGAGATGGCTAGTGAAAATTCAGTGTCACTATTTTACTTATTTTCCAACCACTCTCCTGCTTGTATTCAGCAGTCACATGAAAATATGAGTTTACACTGTTGCTTCATTCTCCATCCATTCCAATTCAGATTTAAATTATTTTTGCATATTTTTTTAACATATTTTTCAAGTAGTTGAATCAATTCTGATGGTGTTACTTGAACAAATGTAACAAAAAAACTAAAAATAATCCAAGGCTAATTTAATTTTTAAATTTTTTAAAAACTATATACAATAACTAAAAAAGACTACACTACTTATAATGAAGTAATATGTTTCAAATCAAGGTAAATTAATTTTTTTATGACATTCAAATAATTGGCCTTAACTTAATAGTGCTTTTTGAGTTGCTACAATTATAACTGAAAAAAAACAACAGCCAATACTTGAAAAGGCCCCATTTTTGCAAAAATTATTGAAGAAGGACGTGACTGCTCCCACTGTCTACAATTCACTGTTGCATCCCTTATATCATGTTTTGATTATTTAGTTGTGTGTGTATGAATTATGCTGCAGTATAATTATGTTTAATGTGTGAAGTTGTCTATATTATTGCATCAGGTAAAGGAGCAGTTTTTAATATTTATTATTAGCAGCTATCATTCTTGTCAAATAATTTTTTTGCTTTAACTTTTAATTTAAAACAGGGATTGGCTTTGGACTCGCTTGCTCTCCATCAATTGTGGCTGTTGAGAGATATTTCATCCACGGCAGATTTCAAGCTCTAAGCATTGTTGTAGCGGGCATTGGATCAGGCATAATCACATTTCCCATCCTCATACGACATCTGCTGGTACATTTTGCATGGAGAGGGACCATGCTTATTCTTTCAGGAATTGCACTTAATTTATGTGTGTGTGGAATGGTTTTGAAACCGTTGAAATTTGAGAAAGAGATCAAATTGATGCCCATGCTGTCGTGTTTTGTATTAAGACACCCATTATTTCATGGGATGTGCTTTGCTAACTTGTTCTGGAGCTTCGGGTCAACCGTAATTTACATGTACTTGCCGTCGTATGCAATGGCCAGAGGTTCGTCGTTCGAAGCAGCAGTTTTCCTTGTGTCATGTGTCGGAATGTCCAGTTTTGCAAGCCGAATGATATTTGCCTTCATGGGGCCCAATAGCACTTTAGATGATGTCACTTCAGCTTTGTGTCCCATTGGTCTTGGCATAGTGATCACTGGGATCTCACCTCTTCTTTTTGAGGACTACACTGGCCAGATAGGCTACACTCTACTTTTTGGCTTCTACAGTGGCTTTTGGACTACATTTTTATCTCAAGCTTCACGTGAGCTTTTAGGCCCGGAATACATAGCGATGGGCAATGGTTACTTATCTTTCATGATTGCACTGGGAGCATTAACTGGTGGACCACTAACTGGTAAGTTGTTTGAAGTTCACCAAACATACTAAATGAACCACACACTGGTACCGTACCATGATGCTCCCCTAACATTTATATGAACCACACACTGGTACCGTACCATGATGCTACCCTAACATTTAGATGAACCTCACACTGGTACCGTACCATGATGCTACCCTAACATTTATATGAACCACAAACTGGTACCGTACCATGATGCTCCCCTAACATTTATATGAACCACACACTGGTACCGTACCATGATGCTACCCTAACATTTATATGAACCACACACTGGTACCGTACCATGATGCTTCCCTAACATTTATATGAACCACACACTGGTACCGTACCATGATGCTCCCCTAACATTTATATGAACCACACACTGGTACCGTACCATGATGCTACCCTAACATTTATATGAACCACACACTGGTACCGTACCATGATGCTCACTTAACATTTATACGAACCACACACTGGTACCGTACCATGATGTTCACCTAACATTTATAGGAATCACACATTGGTAGCATTTAACTATCAGAATTAACTGTAATCTGCAGATCTTTTTCTTTTAGTTACTGGGGTAATTGAAAAATACATACATTTTTTAAAAATTCTTTGTTTTTGCAGGTTTACTGTTACAGCATGAAAATGATTTCAAGTATGCATTCTATCTGGCTGGTAAGGAAAGTGGATTATTCTTTTGTGTCTTATAGACCAGATCATTTTCATTATTTTTGGAGTTCTTAAATGTTTATGAATTATAAAAAAAAAAAGTCAAGACTAATGCATCGAGATATAAATTGACTATAAAATGAAGCAGTTCTCTGATTTTTTAAAAATCCTCAATTTTTTGCATTTGTACTTATAATCAAACTGTAATAATAGTATAAATTAAAGAAAGCTAATGTATTTTAAGTTTTCTTATGCCTTCAAATATGGTAAACAATATAAACAATGTCATCTGCGGTTAAAAAGAAAAAAAAACATTTAAAAAAAATATTTCTTTATTTCCTAAAAGTTATCTTATTCACCAAACAACTGAATTCCTTAAAAAAAAGTAAAATGGTCCTTTCAGTAGATGGTTTAAAAATGATACATAACATTCAATAACATTTTGTTATCATTTTACAAGTGAATTAGAAAACGAATAAAATAATCAAAGATTATAAAGATTATAAGTATCCCATATCTAATCCATCCTGTAGGTGCTTGCTTGCTCTGGAGCTCAGTGGTTATGGTCCTGTTCAAATTGAAGAGATGTACAGCTCGCTTGGATTCAGCCTCGTATACAGATGATAACACTGACTCTCTCAAGGGAGCGAAAGCTAAAGAACTTAAGGTCCCCTTAATTTTGGAAGATATGCAGCTATCAAAAGATGGAAAAATTTCTCTTTCTCAAAGAGATATTGTTGTGTGAGTATCAAATAACACTATATTGTTGTTTGAGTATCTAATAACACTATATTGTTGTGTGAGTATCTAATAATACTATAATGTTGTGTGAGGATATATCTAATTACGCTCTTTCTGAAGTGTTTAAATCCACTATAAAGACCCTTTCTAATATTAAATCCATAAAATAATGTGCATTCCCCTCGTCTGGCTAGATGTTAGGCAGAACAACACATTTCATCCAGATTGCACATTTAGTATATGTTACAACCTTTATAGCCACATGCGGCATTTACATGATGAACCAAGCAAGTACAGAAATAATTTTTGTGTGCGATATTAACAAAAAAAAACTTGTGTCAATAAAGAGCACCATTTTTCATTTATGACAATTTTTTCACTTGTTTTCCCATGACGGCATAGAAACCAAAATTTAACATACTTAAACAACCTGTAAATATGTTTCACTTTAAATGAAAATTTGCAGGAATTATTTTCTTGTCCAATAGAACAAACTCAGAAGAGGGTCAGGTCAGACCATGCAATTTTAAAATTTCAAAAAACTTGGACCACCCTTTTTAGAATGGACAGTTTTATAAACGTTATTGAAGTTAGAAAGGTCACTTTCTTAGTTCTGTACTTTAATTTTTTTCATATAATAAATTAATGCATTTCAATTATTTAAATTATTGCAAGTTTTATCTTACATTGTTGACTCTTAAGGCCTAATTAGGACATTGAAACTCAGTCATCCTGAGGGCAACATAGAGACCTTTTTAACTATTCCACTAAAAGGACAGGGGGCATTAAATATTTTTTCTTGGGGCATGAGGCTAGAACGGTGGAAATATTATTTTTTTAAAAACTGTTTAAAATTAAAATGGGGAAGCATAAAGCATTAATCATTGAGATTCTTGAAAAACATAGGTGTTTAAAAAAAAAAAAAAAGTTTTTACTCTAACTATATAGAACGCTTTGTTGTTACTGGTCATTAAAAACAGAGACCAACTTCTGCAATATTTGATCACAGAACGTCCAACCAGTGTTTCTTTCAGAAATTTTCCCCAGGGGGTGCACTTCAGATTTTGGGGGGGTGGGGGCACTTTGGATTTTTCAGGGGTGGGGGGGGGGACAGTGCCAGCAGTGCCAGTTGATTTATTGTTGGAAATATTTTCGCTCGGGGGAGGGGGGTGCTTGGCTTTACTGGGGGGGGGGGGTCACTGCCCCCCCCCCCGGCCGAGATATAGCTGAAAGAAACCCTGCATCTAACCCAGATTGCATAAAATTTTAAACTTATATAAACTTTCCTGACCTTTTTCTTTTGATTTTTACATCAAAATGATACACTTTTAAATTATTATTTTTTTTGGGTCTCTCCTACATTTAATTTTAACCCATGAAACTCTCTATGTTTCACTGTTTCAATGTTGTTGACTTCAGTTTGAAACAGCGACACTTTGCCTTTCACTTCCAGATTTTATTGTAATGTCGGTGTATCTATAATTCCTATTTCACAGAGACAATGTCATCACATGTGTATGACAGCCCATCACCGGGGGTGCTACACAAGGGCTGACAAGAACAACTCAACCATGATTCAGTATTCATTATTTAAATTTAAATAGAACTGAGTTCTTTGCGTGTCAAAATTTATTAGTTCAAATTTTTTTAGAATGTTTTTTTTAAAAAAAACATGTTAAAAAGCATAAAAATTTTACACAGATGAACTATAATAATAGAATGGTTATTTCTTCTTCAGATGAACAAAATCTTAAGCTGGCAAGTTTTGTTGTTGTAAAGGTATTTTGTATTTATATAAAGAAATAATTTCCCTTACTATACCGTTACAACAAGAGATACATGTCACAGCCAGGGATAAATGTCATGACAAGAGATACATGTCATAGGGATACATGTTATGACAAGAGATACATGTCATAGTCAGGGATACATGTTATGACAAGAGATACATGTCATAGTCATGGATACATGTCATTACAAGAGATACATGTCATAGTCAGGGATACATGTTATGACAAGAGATACATGTCATAGTCATGGATACATGTCACTAGGGGTGTGCCGGATCCGTTTTTTCCAACCGGATCCGGATTTTCTTATGCGAAATCCGCCGGATCCGGATTCCGGTTTCTCCCGGATTCCGGATTTTGGTACTATTGGTAGATACTTCGGTAAGTCAAGGTGGACTACTACTTTTTGTGTATGGGAATTCGCAATCGGCGCCAAAAAATCCGAGTTTTTAATTTTCCGATGTGTGTGTCTATTTATTATTAAATTAGTACTTTCGATATATATTTGAGTTCCGTTCCATTTGGATAAGTGTCTTACGAGAGACGCCATGTTTCTACGCGTTCGCAGCAGGTTATGCAGCTCGCTCAACCTAATTTCGCCATGGGGTTGGCCACGCCCCCCTTTTTAATGGCGGAAGTTGACGATACTTAGGAAATATTAATTTATTATCACTATTTACATCAAAATAATTGATAACTTGTGTTTCAGAATGCATTTAAAGACATTTAAACTGGAATGTTTTAATTTGAGCTTTAACAACCCGGTAGAATCCATATTATAAATGATCAGAATTTACCGTGTGCAACACGTTGTCATTGGCAACCATTCACAGCCACTTGCATAACTGTATCGTAGTACTACCTCAGAGTTTCATTCATAAGAGTTTGCCGTGTGCAAAAACTATTAAACCATTGGTCAGGGAAAGCTTTAATTAATTATTCATGTGCCAAAGTTGAAAGTTTAAACTAAGTCTAAACAGTATTTTAGTGATAAGGCAGGGAATGCGTTGCCTTATATAAACTATATAGTCATTGCGCATGACGGGATTGGTGGAATGAGATCACAGAATGTGGAGATGCAGTCCATGTTAAAAAATGACAAACCAAGTCGTACTTTAAAAATTCATAACTTTAAAACTACAACAGCTAAAAATATGATTTTGGTGTTATAATTCTTTAAAAAATTACATCTTTTCAACTATGCCATTGGTTTATTTTTACAAAAAGTTTAAATTTTCTTATCAAAGTCCCTACACTATTGGCCACTATTAGCGGTGCTGACTCTAGCCTCTGGTATGTACGGAATATTAAACATTAAACAAGCTCAACGCTCGAAACAATCGATTAATGTATCGTGATCGTGTGAAATTCGGGAAAGAGAATTACTTTTATTTCAGATTATGATCCGGTGAGTCACAAAATCTGGCAAATTCCGAAATCCGGTATATTCCGGATTCCGGAATCCGGTTGTTCCGGATACATGTAAATCCGGCGGAACCGGATTTCACCGGATAGTGCAAAATCCGGCACACCCCTACATGTCACTACATGAGATACATGTCATAGTCATTGATGCATGTCATAGTCATATAAAGGTGTACTTAAAGGTGTCATTGATGCATGTTATGACAAGAGATACATGTCATAGCCAGGGACACATGTATCAGCCTGAAATAAGTTGTTATGATTGCATGCAGTAGGATGTCAAATTTTGAAAAAAATAATTTAAATTAAAACTAGGGTAAACTGAACCAAAATTTTACTTGGTTCTTACATTGCAATACTCGTATATTTTATTATATTGATGCTCATATTATATCATGCCACACATTGCAGCACATATAGATTCATTTCCAGAATTCTTCCCTGTTTTTTTGTTATAATTGATTGTAAATAAAAAGTTAATTGCTAACTTTAAAAAAAAAATTTTATACATCTTATTTTAAGCTTATTTTCTAATTAAATATGTACATTATTGGTATCGGTAATGTTTTTTATTGTGGAATAGTTGTTCATGGATAAACTCATTAAAATTTCTATAGTTCATAGTGTTTGCTGTTATGGGGCATTATTAATTATGTATTGGATCACCAGTAATCTTCACTATTAAATTTTCTACTTTCAGTTGTATGTGACCAAAATTGTTAAATTTTTAAAATAAATTTTGAAATGTGGTAACTGAAACACAATTAGCTATTAAGAATAAAGAAAAAAACTCACTTAAAAAAGAAAGATATTAATGAATTACAATGAATAAAATAGGATCATTATTTTTATAGTAGGTAATAATAATCGCTACAAAAAAATAATGGCATTCTGACGATGAAAGAAGTTAATGCTTTGAATTTGATACAGAAGGTTAACTCGCCATATTCCATTCACATTTGTTTATCACCACCACTTCATGACTAATATCTGTTGCCAATATTTCAGTTTGTGTCATAAATCTAAACACACACACTATTACTCATGTGTTGTATATATTAATACAATTGATTATCATTCATCTATCTATTATCTAGTCACTGTATTAAAAACTGTCGTGTAAATTTTTCTTGTCTTAGCTGTAAATGACTGGCTTGGTGAACACATTGACCTAAAAAAGGAACCATTGAGACTCGCTTTGGGTTATTGCTTTTTTAAGAAACCCACTCACTATATGCATTTGTTTGGAGGCTAAGATGTCATAGTAAGGGGCACAACTGTTCAAGTAACTGACACAGTTGTTCAACAGTTTTTTTTCAGTTTTAGAACTCTCATAAAAAATTTCTTATGTAATATTTGTAAAGCAAATACACTTTTCTACCATGCTGATCTAGCCTTAACAGTTTTTTGTACATTTGTGCCTGGTATTGTCTCAAATCAAATAGATTTGCTTTAACATACAGGTAAAAATTATGTAAAGTTAAGATGGTCACTTGTGCTCCATGCTAGTCTCACTAGGAATTTATATATTTTGAAAAGTTTCAAGAGTTGGCTTACCGGTATAGATGTTTGTAATGCATTGGTCATTGAAATGTTTTAACTTTTCTTTAATTATCTACTTCTGCTGTCAAGATAAACTTTAAATTTCAAGGAAATAAAAAGTATTCTTTCGATGTCTATAGTTTCTTACTTTCTTCTAATTCATACTATAAATATGATAAATATAAAGGTGTACTTAAACGTATAATAATGCTAATTATAAGGGTGTACTTAAACTTATAAATATGCTAACTATAAGAGTGTCCTTAAACTTATAAATTATCTAATTATAAGGGTGTACTTAAACTTAAAAATATGCTAATTATAAGGGTGTACTTAAACTTATAAATATGATAATTATAAAGGTGTACTTAAACATATAAATATGCAAATTATAAGAGTGTCCTTAAACTTATAAATATGCTAATTATTAGAGTGTGTGTAAATGTAAAAATATGCTAATTGTTAGAGTGTACTTAAACTTATAAGTATGCTGCAGGATGTGCATGTTTAAAAATAAAAGCAAAATAAATTAATAGAAAGATTATTCTTGATGGATGGTCGCAACACAAGGTGTGAGACCTGCAGGATGTTTGTTGTGATTTATTTTAGTATCCCTAACAGTCAGTCCGCCAACGTCGTGGTCTTCTTCTGGCACTGAAACCAGATTGCCCGCTATTTTAAGCTTGCAATGCAGGTTGGTGGTCAGGCAATCTGACCAGGATGCCAAACCAGTTTCCTTAGTTGACTGATTGTGGTGGTACCAACCGTTTGTCTTATTTCCTGGCACATGATTGTGATGGTACCAACCCTTTGTCTTATTTCCTGGCACCTGATTGTGATGGCACCAACCCTTTGCCTTATTTCCTGGCACCTGCTTGTGATGGCACCAACCCTTTGTCTTATTTCCTGGCACCTGATTGTTATGGTACCAACCATTTGTCTTACTTCCTGGCACCTTATTGTGATGGCACCAACCCTTTGTCTTATTTCCTGGCAACTGATTGTGATGGCACCAACCCTTTGTCTTATTTCCTGGCACCTGCTTGTGATGGCACCAACCCTTTGTCTTATTTCCTGGCACCTGATTGTGATGGTACCAACCCTTTCAGAATAAAGGACCGTCCTGATTGTGATGGCACCAACCCTTTGTCTTATTTCCTGGCACCTGATTGTGATGGCACCAACCCTTTGTCTTATTTCCTGGCACCTGATTGTGATGGCACCAACCCTTTGCCTTATTTCCTGGCACCTGATTGTGATGGCACCAACCCTTTGTCTTATTTCCTGGCACCTGATTGTGATGGCACCAACCCTTTGGACTAGTAGGGTGTTGGAAACACGCAGAGTAAAAGGAGAGCTCCTCGATAACATCAGGGCAACTCTATTCAAGAAGTCTCAGAACAGTCAGACAGGGCTGTGTTCTATTGCCGTTTCTGTACATTATATACGTGGACAAAATTGCCTGTAAGCAGTGCCATCTTAAGGCATGGGCCCACTGGGCACTGGCCCAGGGCCTCACACTTCTAGGGAGCCCCACGCTCACGCTTCTAGGAGACTCGATCTTTTAGAGGCATCATGCTTTACATATTGTTAATGAATATTAAACGACTTTGGCAATTTAATTTGATCTTAAAGTCAGTAGACAGAACGTTTCACAATTTTTGCCCACTATATTATTATCGGCACCTTCCAAAATTAATATTATAAATGTGAATCACGACTTGGGGCGATTGACCCTCTCGCCCCCTCCTTAGCATGGCCCTGAGTATATAGAGGGTTAGGGGCCTCAGTGCATTCCTCTGTGCCCAGGGCCTCCGCTGTTGTAAAGACGAACCTGGCTCTATGGTTGTACGTAGAAAATGTGTCATGTCCTAACGGATGGATTGTAGTTCAGTTCCCAAGGTAGCCCTGATAAGCTAAACCACCACTATCCTTGAGTTCAGTTCCCAAGGTAGCCCTGATAAGCTAAACCACCACTATCCTTGAGTTCAGTTCCCAAGGTAGCCCTGATAAGCTAAACCACCACTATCCTTGAGTTCAGTTCCCAAGGTAGCCCTGATAAGCTAAACCACCACTATCCTTGAGTTCACTTCCCAAGGTAGCCCTGATAAGCTAAACCACCACTATCCTTGAGTTCAGTTCCCAAGGTAGCCCTGATAAGCTAAACCACCACTATCCTTGAGTTCAGTTCCCAAGGTAGCCCTGATATGCTAAACCACCACTATCCTTGAGTTCAGTTCCCAAGGAAGCCCTGATAAGCTAAACCACCACTATCCTTGAGTTCAGTTCCCAAGGTAGCCCTGATAAGCTAAACCACCACTATCCTTGAGTTCAGTTCCCAAGGTAGCCCTGATAAGCTAAACCATCACTATCCTTGAGTTCAGTACCCAAGGTAGCCCTGATAAGCTAAACCACCACTATCCTTGAGTTCAGTACCCAAGGTAGCCCTGATAAGCTAAACCACCACTATCCTTGAGTTCAGTACCCAAGGTAGCCCTGATAAGCTAAACCACCACTATCCTTGAGTTCAGTTCCCAAGGTAGCCCTGATAAGCTAAACCACCACTATCCTTGAGTTCAGTACCCAAGGAAGCCCTGATAAGCTAAACCACCACTATCCTTGAGTTCAGTACCCAAGGTAGCCCTGATAAGATAAACCACCACTATCCTTGAGTTCAGTTCCCAAGGTAGCCCTGATAAGCTAAACCACCACTATCCTTGAGTTCAGTACCCAAGGAAGCCCTGATAAGCTAAACCACCACTATCCTTGAGTTCAGTACCCAAGGAAGCCCTGATAAGCTAAACCACCACTATCCTTGAGTTCAGTACCCAAGGTAGCCCTGATAAGCTAAACCACCACTATCTGTGGAAGCATCTTTTTTTTTTTTAATCTCAATAAAATGTGATTAAAGATTTCGTCATATTGACTTTGCGAATAAGGGGCCATCCATAAATGACGTCAAGCGTCTAAAAAGAAGGGGGTGGGGGGTTAACATTTTTGTGACGATATGGAAAAAGGGGGGTTGGGTTTGAAAGCGATGTGACGTCACAAGAAAAGCAGTATGTCACTGAAACTACTTGCAAATAATAAGTTATTTTTACCATAATTTATTTATAGGATACAGCAATTTTAACCACTACACTGTAATTCTTGACGTTTATGAATGTACGATTGTCGTCTGATTGCATTTGATTCAATATTTTCATTTTTAAACTACGATCACCGCCGTTTTCCCTCCTAACCCTAATCAGTACTGCGACTGCGGGAGACTAGACTGCCTGTAAAGGTATGCGAGGTCCATTTAAATCACGCCCTGACCACCGGTCGCTTTATTCTGAGAGGATCAAGTTACAGGATGCTAAGGGGACCGAGAGAGGAAGTTGTCATGCCGTTTAACGGTCGGAATAAATTATGTCGGAAAAGAAGGAGATGGGGCGTTTTAAGGGAGTCCGGCAACCCGGGCAGCTAGGGTTTGGAAACAATGCAAAACAGCTTTCAGCGAAAAGTGATCTTAGTAAAATTGGTTTTGGGGGAAATGTTTCTGTCCGAGCTGTAGTAATTCGATAGACATAAACATGACATAATGCCCATAATGATAATGGAATGTTTGAGTTTTTGCAAACGAAAGAGTTGGACTACTCTACTCACTACTAGTCAGTGTGAATTTCTCTTCAGAACTGCACGGGCCTGGTAAATTTAGATGGGAAACGAAAGCGCAAGTGCATTTAAAAATTGAAAACTGCTCAGATATTTTTTTAAAAAATGAATTAAAAGAATTTATTATAGTCTTTGACAATTAATTTTTGTGGATCAGAAGAAAATTGGAAGTACAACTAATCTGTGAACGAAATACAAATTGAACCAGTTGATCAGTAAGTTATTCTTTGAAAATTCTAAAGCTTTACAATTTAATCTAGAATTAAAAAAAAAAAAATATGATTTAAGATTTACCAAATTGCAGTAAAAGACACTACTGCTATGCTATTGTATTGCCTAGATTTATTGATGTATTTGTAACAGTGGCGTAGCGAGGGTGTTTGGCGCCCGGGGACAAGATTCGCGCCCGGGGACAAGATCCATTTTTAGCGCCCCTTTTTCTTTTTTTCAACTCTCAAACCCATTATTTTCATCAATAAAATAATATCAAAGCACATTTTTTTTGCAATGAGGTAGGCGTTTCTAAATATAACTCCCCCCCCCCCCCCCACACACACCGCAGAAGACACCGACAACAATAACAGGAAATGAGTCAGCAGTGCTACTACTGACCTAAATTCTTCTAATCCAGAGTCAAGACAGTCCTAGACTTTATAGTCGGGATTTGGATGTCGCTGTCCTGTGTAAATGTTGTGAATATTTCTCTTTTTCTTGTCTAATCTTGGAGGAGGGGACAGGGGTGGGGGGATGGAATGGAAATGTTGAAACTAACTTAACACTCATTTGTTGTGGGTTTTTTTAGGTTTTGTTTGTTTGTTTGTTTGTTTGTTTGGTGTGTTTATTTCTCCTTTACCCCCACCCCACCTGATGACTTTGTAGGAATTCGGTTGTTTGGCACACACTAGTTTCTGAAGAAAACCAAGCCTAGCAACAACAAAAAATAATAAATAGGCACACACAAAATATATTCGATCATTTAAAATCAGCAATTGTAAAAATAAATCGTATTCTAGATATTCTTACTTAAACTGATGTATGCTGTGGTTCCCCCAATAATAAACAACTCAACAAGCACACCCCCCCCCCGTCCCCCTTGTAAACAACTCACATTATTTCCCTGGGTATAGTCTACCCTATAACTGAGTCTCTGTAAGTTAGGGGTAAATAAAATTATACTAATAAATGAATATTTATTATGTATATCAATAGAAGTTTTCATGAGTATTTAATATAAGGCAAGGGTACTAAGCCGACACCGAAAAAAATCAATGAACAAAGTCAACTTTGACTAACATATTATTTCATACATCTCCTGACGTTTGGTCAAGCAGTATTATTATTATACGTAATGATAAACTGCCCTTGTGCAAAGTCACACACTATTTTGATGCAGATTCTCATACAAAAGAAGCGAAAATTACATGGAAATCAAAGCATAATAATTGTCAAA